CACATTATAAACCAATAAATATTAAATATCCATAATATTATTAATAAGTAACTGATAGAAATTATTCGATACATGCTCGTCGAATATTCGTCGATAAGTTAAAATATTTATTCATTTTGTGATAGATACGAAGAACGCATCGTATTAATTTATAGCAATTAGGGTTTTTATTTTTTATGTTTTTTCGTTATCATCTCTGTAACCTATTTTAATTTGCTAAGTTAATTCAAATAAATTTAACGGTATAGAAAATATAATTAGTCAATGGTGTATGATTTAATTTTTCATGAATTATCATCATATTGATTTACTTTTTTCAAAGTAATTATTAATTTTATGAACAACCGAATGGAGATGCTTAGTAAGTTCCACTTTGTAATTATAGTTCGCTACTTATAATGAATTATGATTATATGTATTATGTAATTTTGATTGACGGTATAAATTTTAAAATAAATAATATAATAAATTAGTGGCCGAAAATTAATTAAAAAATAAATATTCACTTTTTTCATATTCATTATTAAAATTTGTAATGCTCTTAATTATTTTTAAAATCACATATACATTATTTATGTTGTCTCTAACCCATAAAAAATTATTAAATATTATTAATTTCTCTTCATAATTATTGAATCATTTTAATACATTCAAAATTTTATTTATCTTTGTGTGTGTGTGTATATGTATATGTATACATATATATATATATATATTAATCTTCATGCCATTCTCATTCCCCACCGGCACTACCACACAATAATTTCTCACACTTACCATGTAATTTACATGTTACCCATGATGATCTTTTTTAATTATAAAGTGAAATTATATACCTATATATATATATATACATATATAACAACAAAGGAAGTGAATTCATATAAGACTATGGTAAACTTATTGGAGAATTAGATAATATATCTTTAATATTTTTTTTTCTTCAAAAAAATATAAGTTTAAGTTTTGTATTTTGTACCATTTATTAAAATAAACTATGCATTATTTTTTATAAATTTTAAAATTAAATGTCAAACAATTATATATATATATATTTTAATCATATAAATTTTGTTAGAATAACATTTAAGTCACTTTCTTCGTTCCTTATGATTAGCTCTCTTGACTTTTTAGTTAAGATCAAATGTAATATTTATTCTTATTAATTTAAAATTATATATTTATAATATGAAAAAAATAAACAGTAACTTTAGAAAAATTCGTCACTTACCCAAAACAAAGGGTTTTATACTGTTCGTTAAAATATTAGTGTCTCTTGACTTAGGATGCGTAAAACTTAGACGCTCG